CCCCAAGTAACTGAGGCTCAGAGAAGGTAAGTCATCCGCCCTAGGTCACACAGCTGGAAAGGAGAAGAACTGGAATTGGAGCCAGGCCTGCTTGACCTCGGAGCCCCTGATCCTGACCGTCTCGCTAACCAGAACCTTCTTGTCCCTCTGGATTTGCAGGCCCGTGATCCTGGACCCGGCTGACCCCACGTGGGACGTGGGGAACGGAGCAGCGTGGCACTGGGATCTACTGGCCCGAGAGGCAGAGTCTTGCTATGAGCACCCGTGTTTTCTGCAGGCGGCGGGGGGCGCTGTGCAGCCCTGGGAGGGGCCCGTGAGTGAGGGGCTCCCGGGATCCTTGTTACGCACCCAATTCGTGTACTCGGTGTTTCCTGAGCATCTGTTGTGTGCTGGGGCCCTGGGGTGTGGGACAGGCTTGAAAAATGGGGGCTGCAGGCATGTAAAACAACCTGATCACCAAGCTGAGCCTGCTTGGAGGAACCTTTCCGGTGGCACTGTTATCATCTGCTTACCGTGCTGGGTCCACCCGGCACCGGGGACCATTTTATAATTTATCCCGTCTGGAAGGGCGCCTCTATCTAATCTGCACGAAGGCGCCTTAGGGGCTAGCGGTGACCCTCTCGCTTTCTCTCTCTGAGTCTCAGTCACCCTGACCGTACAATGGGAGGGGGGTGGTGAGAGAAGGGATGGAGAAGCCTCTTCGCTTGTAAGACAGCTCCTTCAACAAACTTCCAGGGCCTTCCACGTCCTGGGTGCTCAGGTTTGGACCACCCCATCCAGCGAGACTCTGCCCAGAGGGCCCCGGAGGAGAGCAGCAGTCTCGATGCCGTGGGCCCAAGTGCAGGGAGCAGGCAGCCCTCACGCCCAGCTCCCGGCCCCTCAGGGACAGCCAGCACCACCCCCTGTACTCTGGGGATGGCCTTGGATCTGTCTCGCATCAGCACCAAGGACCTGGACCGCTTCATCCAGGACCACCTGAAACCGAACCCCCAGTTCCAGAAGCAGGTCAACAAGGCCATCGATGTCATCTTGCATTGCCTCTGCGAGAAGCGTTTCTACAGGGCGTCCACAGTCAGCAAGGTAAGTCGGTGGGTGGGGACACCGATGGGACCCTCCTGGGGCACCACAGCGAGGAGGGGGAGGAGCCACAGTGCGGCTGAGGGCGGGCAGGGCAAGTGGGCATCCGTGGAGGGGTAGTTTGCTGGCCGGAGGTATGTATCTAAGTACCAGCTTTTTGGGGGGGGATCTTTTTTAATGATAGTTTTTTAAACCACTAACAGAGCACGCCTCCTCTCTGCTCAAAACCCTCCCCGGGTTCACAGAGCACAGTGGCTTCGAGGCCCATAGAATCTGGCCCTGGTCTTTCTCGGAACTTCACTTACTCCACACTGGCCTCCTGGCTGCTTCTTGAACTCACCGGCCAGAGTCCGCACTGGCTGGTTTCTCTTTCTGGAATCCCTCACCACCCCCCCCCCCCCCCTCCCAGCCCCATCCACTTGGCTTCCCCCACTCTCCTTTAAGTCTAGGGTCCCAGCCCTCTAGAGTCTCACGGAGGCCTCATTGCTCAGTTCACAACTGCAACCTCCCTTCCACAGCCCCACCCCGTCCCCTTACTGCCTTATTTGCCTGCACACAGCCCTTAGCGCTTCTGGGAGCTGTTGTTTGCAGACCGTCCCTCCCTCCTCTCCCCCTGCTAGAATGTAAGTTCCAGGAGAAGAGGTAACTTTTATGTACTCCCATACCTTGCCACATGTTGAGTGCCCAATAAACGGATGGATGGGTGGAAGCAGGCCAGCAGAGCACATCCACAGGCCCCATTTGGCCCCGGGACCTCAACGTGCCATGTGTGGTCCAGATGGGCAGTCAATAGGTGCTGCGGATATTCGGCTAAAATCATTAATCCCTGCCCCCTTCACCGCACCCCCCGTTTTCTGTTGCTACGTGTTGGTCTGACTTTGCGCAGGCCCCGAGGGTCAGAAGGCAGGTGCAGGCGGACATAATCTGACTCTGCCAGGCTTCTAAGAGTCAGAGGTCGCGGGGCTTGTGCAGCCCGCCTCTGTCACGGTGTCCCCAGACCTGACACCAGCGACAGAGTAGTGTTGGGACTGCAGTGGGGGTACAGCGGGTGGGGTCATAGTCTGACTCCTGAGCTCAGGGACAGTCACGGGTCTCAGATGGCCCATCCTCTGCAGGGGGGCTCATTTGGCCGGGGCACAGACCTGAGGGGCTACGGTGATGCCGAACTCGTCATCTTCCTCAACTGCTTCGAGGACTACGGGGACCAAAGGGCCCGCCGCCTGGAGATCCTTGATGAGATGCGGGCACAGTTGGAATCCTGGTGGCAAGACCCAGTCCCCGGCCTGAGCCTCCGTTTTCCTGAGCAGACCGTGCCCGAGGCTTTACAGTTCCAGCTGGTGTCCCGGGCCCCAGGAAGCTGGATGGACGTGAGCCTGCTGCCTGTCTTTGATGCCGCGGGTGAGGGCTGCCTCCAGCCTGTGCCTTGGAGACCAATTCCCTCGCCCGCTCTGCTACACAGCTTGCCTAGGGTCGAGATCACCCACCTTGCGGAGTTATTGGGTGGATGAGGGAAAATTACTGAAAAGCACCCAGCACGTATTTGGTGCTTAAAAAAAAAAAGTTCTGATTGCTATTCCATGTCGTAGACTGTGTATTATGGGTTGCAGTGCTATGCTATGCAATTAACGTTAAAATATTAATAAAGGCTGGGGAGTGGCTGGGTGGGGACATGCTGCTGTCTTCGTTAGAGCTAGGCACTCAGAGTACTTCACATTTCGCAGGGCAGCTCTGTGCGGGCGCCAGACCTGAGCCCCAGATCTACTCCAGCTTCCTCGACAGCGGCTGCCAGGGGGGCGAGCACGTGGCCTGCTTCACAGAGCTGAGGAGGAACTTCGTGAACACTCGCCCACCCAAGCTGAAGAACCTGATCCTGCTCGTGAAGCACTGGTATTACCAGGTGAGGCCTCCATACCCGCCTCCCTCCTCCCAGGAAGTAGCTGCTGTCATGGCAACTGCCTCAGCCAATCAGCGCCTCCCCCAGGCAGCCATCTCCCTTCCTTCACTTCTTATTGGCCATCCCAAGTAGAAGATCCACCTCCTCCATCCTCCATTTCCGGTACAGACCGGAAGTCCCTGGCTGAAAGAAAATCTTTCTCCGTCAAGCTCCGAATGCCCGTTTCTTGTAGTTGGGGTTCACCATCCACCTCTAGCTCATCTGTTTCCCTTCACTCCCCACGCTGCTAATGGATTCCCTGTTCTTGCCCACCCCCAAGCCCTAGCTTATGCTGTTCCACCATCACTGTCTTGTGTGCAAGGTGTACTAAATAAACCCCGAGCTTCCTCCAGAGCTCCTTCACCAAAAACACTCATCTGAATGCACTCGCATTCGTGTACTCATTCAGCAAATATTTACTGAGCAGCCACTGCCACTAACGTCACGATTGTGCCAGATGTTGGGATACCAAGCTGAATATATCGCAGCCCCCATTCCTGTACAACCGTCCCGTACACCCTTGATGGAGAGACTCTGGGCAAAGATCAAGTCTGAGATTCTTAGCCTCGCTGTGTGACCTTGGACAAGTCACTACCCACGCCCGTTCCCAGACCTCTGTGTGTCCACCTGTAAAATAAAAAGGGTTTCATTTTGTCCTGTAAAATGAAAAGGGCTTTATTTTGTATATTCCCCTCCCTCTCCAAGTACATAGGGCCATGCTTGGCACATCTTGGGTGCTCAACTCCACTCATTCTTTGATTGGCCTTGGGTGACCTAGGTCGCAGCTCGGAACAGAGGACGGCAGCCAGCCTGTGCCTCCCTGCCCCCAGTCTATGCCCTGGAGCTCCTGACCATCTTCGCCTGGGAGCAGGGCTGCAGGAACGATTCTTTCAACACGGCTGAAGGCCTCAAGACGGTCCTAGGGCTCGTCCAGCAGCACCAGCAACTTTGTGTCTACTGGACGGTCAACTACAGCTTTGAGGACCCAGCTATCAGAACATACCTTCTTGGCCAGCTTCAGAAACCCAGGTGCAGACCCATGATGCACTGCATCATCCTTTCTCCTCCCCCCACCACGGTCACCCTGGAGTCACTGCATCCAGGAGGGATCCAGGCTGGGATCTGGGTGCCTCAACCCTACTCCTTGCTCTGGACTCTTTGCTGAAGAAGCACGGACACAGGGAGCCCCCAAAGACGCCAGAGCCACGTTCATTAACACAATAAAATATCATTGCTGAAATGAAGGGCTCACCCAATACCTGACTGAGGCAGCCAGGTGGGAACCCTACTGTGCTTGGGACAGACTGGGCCAGCCCTAAGGTCCTGACACTCTTCTCCTTCTCCCCAGCCCCGACACCCTTTCCTGGTCCCTCCCACCCCCCTGCTCTTCACTGATTCCCACCTTCCCCACCTGCCTGCCCATCCACTCTGCCCCCCAGGCCCCTGCTCCTGGATCCTGCTGACCCCACCTGGAATGTGGGCCAGGGCAGCTGGGAGCTGTTGGCCCAGGAAGCAGCAGCTCTGGAGACACAGGCCTGCTTTAGGAATAGACAGGGGACGTCTGTGCAGCCCTGGGATGTGATGGTAAGGGGGGAGCCCCTGGGGCGGCAGATGCCGTTGGTGCCCCCTTCCAGACCCCCTTTCCCTGCCGGTGCGCGCATTCCCCAGCTGCCAGGAGTGTGTGTTTCTGCCGGCTTACAGCTGAGACACCTGCTGTTCTGTCCCAGCCAGCGCTTCAGTGACACGGGGGACAAAAAGCCCACCCTCGTTTTTAAGGCGAGACCGGCTCTGTGATGCAATTCCGAGTCCAGAGTTCCCCGTGGGATCGAGAGAAAGCTTTCTCGAGCTGGAGCCTTGCTTAGCTCCTTCTCCTGCTTCCCTCACTCCCCTTTTCCTGCAAGCACTGCCCCCCGTTAATCCACGCACGAGAACCCCCATCGCAGGCTCTGCTTCTAGGGGACCCCCCGCTTAAGGCGATAGCCAGCCCCCGAAGGGATATGAGTTTATTGCCCTTGCTTTTGTCAGCCGGATCTCATAACCAGGGCTTGATACTCACGACAATCCAGTGAGGCACGGGCCTTGTTATTGCCCCCATTTAAAGATGGTGAAACCAAGGCTGCGTGTTGGCGGTGGAACCAGAACGTGAACTCGGGTCCTTCTGATGCTCCCGCACAGACCTGCCAACCAGCTGAGGAAGAAAAGGGCTGTGGGAGGTAGCGGGTGTCTCATCCTCATAGACTGGCAAGAGGCAGGGCCTGCGCGCTCCTAGGGAATCCTGGCTCGAGCCGGCGTACCTGGATTCTTTCTGTAGCCTGCTCTCCTTTACCAAACACCAGCTGGGGACCTTGACAAGTTCATCAGTGAATTTCTCCAGCCCAGCCGCCAGTTCTTGGCTCAGGTGAACAAGGCCGTCAATGCCATCTGCTCATTCCTGAGGGAAAACTGCTTCCGGAATTCTCCCATCAAAGTGCTCAAGGTGGTCAAGGTAAGTCCCCAGAGGGCCGTGGGCAAGGAGAGCCCTGCAGGCTGGGGATCTCTCCCAGGCCAGGGCCAGGCCCGACCCACCTCTGTGGCCCTTACAACAATCGGCACAAGGCCAAACACAGAAGGGAAACCAGAACGCCGTTGTTGTAGGTGGGTGGTGGCGGGAGGGCTCAGAGGTGTCCAACAAATCTCTTCTGGTCGCTTGTGACAGCCAACTCAAAAGGAGGAACGAAGGGAGTATATTGGCTGATGTAAATGGAAAGCCCTGGAGTAGAGCTGCCATCAGGTACAGCTAGATCCAGGAGCCCGTGCGGGGTCTTCAGGACTCAGCTTTTCATCCCAGCCCTTGGCTCTGCTGTCTTCTGTTTCGGACAAGCCCTTTCCGTGTGATGGTTCTTGGCATCTCTAAGCTTCCAGAAAGGGGGATTCTTTTTTCTCAAAATTCAAATAAGTCTTGGAATTGAGTCTTATTGTCCTGACTCGGGTTATATACCCCTCCCCAAACTCATCACTGGGGCTAGGGAGACACCATGCTCTGACTGGCCAAGCCTGGTTCATATTATTGAGTCAGTCCCACGTGGACCTGAATTGTGGGGGAGGAGCGGTTCCCCCAAAGAAAACCGGGGTGCTGGTCTTAGAAGTAGAAGGGATGCTGGGGGTGTATAAAAAGCCACATTGTCCACTGCACCAGATACAACCTCGGTCCACAGCTGAAGTCACAAGTGAGACCCAGGTTAGCTCTGGAAGATTATAAGCATGGAATCAGCCAATGAAAAGTCCCAGGCCTGATGAGTTGCTGTGTGGCCCCAGGCAAATACCTTCCCCTCTCTGATCCTTACCTTCTTTACCCATAACACTTAAAGATGATAACCTGGCTCACTGGCTGTCAACCGTGGCTTCACTTAGAATCACGAGGTGACTTTTAAAAATTAGACCGATGCCCTGTCCCCCTCCCAGGCCAATTAAATCACAGTCACGGGGCATAGGAGCCATACGTACATCAGTCAGTTTTTAAAGCTCTCCTGGTACAAGCAGCCTTGAGAACCACAAGTCAAAAAAATAAGCAAATAAATCTCTCAAATCCCTCCCGGCCCCCAAACTTGATGGAATGAGAACGTTTGCATTTGTTGAAGGGTTTAAACTTAACATCTTGCACATTTCTTTTTCTTGCAACCGTACTACGTCTCAACCGCATATTAAAGAGGTAAGACAGAGAGGTTAGGTGACTCGCCCAAGGTCACACAGCAAGTTCCTGACCCACAGGCTCCAGCAGGAGGACGTCATGCAGTCCTGCAAGGGTCAAGCCGCCTCCGTGTCCTCCCCAGGGTGGCTCTTTAGCCAAAGGCACAGCTCTGCGAGGCCGCTCAGATGCTGATATAGTGGTGTTCCTCAGCTGCTTCAGCCAGTTCACCGAACAAGGGAACAAGCGGGCTGAGATCATCTCAGAGATCCGAGCCCAGCTGGAGGCATGTCAGCAGGAGATGCAGTTCGAGGTGAAGTTCGAGATCCCCAAGTGGGAGAATCCCCGCGTTTTGAGCTTCTCTCTGATGTCCCAGACGATGCTGGATCAGAGCGTGGACTTTGACGTGCTGCCAGCCTTTAACGCCTTAGGTGAGGTACCTGAGCATACTCCTGAGAAGGGGGAAAGCAGAGGCAGGGCTGCCAGGGACAGCAGTCGAGGTTGTGCACTGCACAACCAGACCACACATGTTCACAGGGCAGGCATTGTACACATGTGTGTTTCTCACCACTTTCCTGCAAGGTGTCTGGAGAAAAGGACACGTTTTTCCAATTCATACAACAGTTGTATGCGATCTAACAGTGGCCCTGGGCTGGGCCCTAGTCTCAGCATGACAGATGACCTTGAGCAAGGGAATTCCCTGCCTTGAGCCGCAGTGTCTTCCCTTGACACTGTATTCGAGTGTCTCCGTGCACTCCCAGCTTCGAGGATTTGTGTGCTACCTTCTCCACCTTCCACAGACCCGGAGGATCCGTTCGTTCAACACATGCACCGAGTAAGTACGTGTCCAGCATTCTCCGTGGCACCAAGGGTACATCCCTGCACAAAACAAACACAAATCCTTTCTATCTATTCAGTTCTGAACTTGCACTGGAAAGTTCGCAGAGCGAGGACGTCCCGTGTATTGGAATGTACTTGGCTCCTGAGGTTTGAGAAACGAGTGACAAGGGAGGGAATCATCCAGAAATGTGTCTGAATCTACACAGTTCCTCAATTCGGAAAGCAGGAACGCTTGAATGTCAAGGAATGCCTTTAAGGGCGGTGAAGCCGGAGAGTGATACGGTCCTGTTCCTTACAGGAGGCTCTAAGACTGAGGCTCTGCCTTTGTTAGAGAGGGCTGAACAAGTGTCCAGGAGCCGCTAAAGATGTGTCAGCTCCCAGCTGAGACTTCTTGCTGACAGCCAACCGGAGGGGTTGAAAGGGGGCAGGAAGGGCCGCGAGATTCTCACCGGGGATTTAAGGCTGGGTCATGCCACGTCTGTGTTCCGTCTAAGATCCCCTGTGCTCCCTCCCCGCCGCCGTGGGTCCAGACCCCCGGCGAGGGAGGTGCCCAAGTAGGAGATCCTGGAAGGCCTGTCTCAGTTGGCCCCAGGGGGGTTCTGGGAAACGAGCCGACGGTGGCCCCCTCCCTGTCTCCAGGCCAGCTGAGCTCCGGCAGGAGGCCCACGCCTCAAGTCTACGTCGACCTCATCCACAGCTACAACAACGCGGGCGAGTACTCCACCTGTTTCACGGAGCTGCAGAGGGACTTCATCGTCTCTCGCCCCACCAAGCTGAAGAGTCTGATCCGATTGGTCAAGCACTGGTACCAGCAGGTTCGGCCACGAGGACGGGGCCATCCCCCCACCCCCCGCCCGGGCCCTGGAGCGCTGTCCTGGGAGGAGGCGGGGCACGACCCTGGGTTGGCTGAGCGGCTGGAGAGAGATTTCATAGCTGTGGGACCTTGGTTTGCTTATCGGTGAACTGGGGCTGGTGTTGCCACATCGCAGCATTTGAGGGCATAGTGCGTGGCCGGGCATCTGACGCATGGAAGTGCCCGGTAAAGGTTTGGGGTGGTCTTGCCAGCTCTGGAAGGGTCCCTCCTGTGCGTCTTCATTGCCAGTGTCAACCCACACTTTCCCTTTATTCCCCAGTGCAACAAGATGCCCAAGGGGAAAGGTTCCCTGCCCCCCCAGCACGGGCTAGAGCTCCTGACGGTGCATGCCTGGGAGCAGGGCGGCCGGGACCCCCAGTTCAACATGGCGCAAGGCTTCCGCACTGTCCTGGAGCTGGTCAGCCGGTACCGTGAGCTCTGTGTCTACTGGACCGTCAACTACGACAACCGGGACAAGACTGTCAGGGACTTCCTGAGCCAGCAGCTTCAGAAGACCAGGTTCTGGCCCACACTCAGTGTTGCAGTGTCTCAGATCTGGGGTCCCTCACCCTTCCCACTTCCGCAGGGCACAGAGCAGGGACAGCAAACTCCTCTTCCTGGAACGGAGCTCCTTTCTAACAGGGACAGCCTTAACAGGGACAGCCTTAGCACCTGAGGGACAGGCACTCCGTTTCCTGGTCCCTTGGTTTCCAGGTGAAATGTAAGACTCCAAGTTTGAATTTCAGAAAAAGAATGAGTGACTTTTTAGTATGTGTATGCCCCCACGCAGTCCTTGGGACATACTGACGGTTTTCCAGAGCTCAAATTTCACTGGGCATCCTCTGTTTATATTTGTTAAATGTGCCAACCCTACCTGGGAACCCACCAGGTAACAGGAGCAGGTCTGCTTCTTTGGGATTTTGCCTCCCACTGAAATGGTGCAAAGATAACAGAGACGCTTGCACAAATTCACGATGCATCTCCAGTCAGTGGGTGATGGCAACTTAGAACAATGTGTTGAGAAAGACTCTGACGTGGTGACATCTGCCACAGATGTAGGAAGGCAGGAAGGCAGAGTGGTAGAACAAGTCCCGAGATTAATTAACAATGCCCGCTACATGCTGAAGGGGTAAGAGTGGCCCAAACGAACATGGTGGTTGATTAGTAATGTCTGCCCGGGACACAGAAGGGAGAAGTGGCCCGTGCAGAGGGTTGGGTGATGGAGGAGAATAGTCCAACCAGTCCCACAGAAGGGCACCCAGATGTTGCCAGGGGTCGGACTGACCCTGATGGGAATTGCAGGCCCATCATCCTGGATCCAGCTGACCCGACGGGCAACCTGGGCCACAATGCCCGCTGGGACCTGCTGGCCGAGGAAGCTGTGGCCTGCATGTCTGCCGTGTGCTGCATGGGCAGGGACGGCACCCCCATCCAGCCATGGCCAGCGAAGGTAAGAGAGCTGTATGGCGCAGCAGGGCGCACCCTTCCCTGGGGACAGTGTGCTCAGGGGAGGGGCCTGACTCCTGCCAAAGGGGCCCCCGTGCCTCCACGTCCCGGCTGTCCCTTGGTCTCTGCTTCTCCAGGAAGGTTAGGACAAACCAACTTCTTCTGTCACCTTCCGCCAGGCTGCCGTGTGAAGGCCGGAATTTGTACCAGATGGAGGGATGGACACCAGCCGTTGGCGTGGAGAGACTTCGGGTCACCTACCAGATGTGTGTGTGCGTGTGTGTGTGTGCTTGTGAGAGACAGAGAGGCCTCGATTCAGTGAATCCACTCCTCCTCTGTCCAGCCTCCCTCCCGACTCCTATCCCTGCCTTCCCACTCTCTGCCCTCCTCCTGCTCTGCGTACCCAGCCCAGCTGAGTTTTATCAAATACCCCCTTGCGTCATACGGGCACTGGCCACCACAAGGCTCCCCTGCTCCCCTGCCCCCTGAGGCCGCGCACCAGACTCGGTGGGCTGGCAGCGGCCTGTCGCCGCCATGACTCCACTCTCAGACAGCCACTGTCGCGTACCACACTGCGTCCCGCCCCTGCCGAGAATGCCCTCTTCCTTCCTGCCTTCTCTGCCCGTCCGCACCGGTTCACATCTTCCGCTGAAGCCCATCCCTGTCCGCCCAGTGGCCTCTCCTCCTTCCCCAGCCCAGCGGCTTTCGCAGAGATGGCAGTCTTCGTGCCATTTGTCAGCCACAGGCCATTGGCAGTGGCCGCCTGGAGGCCTGGGTTCTGGAAGATTCTAAAGAATGGATGCATACCTGGGAAGAGTGATGTAATCAACTAGTGATGTCTGCCATGGATGCGGTAGGGGAACGTGGTGGCATGAGTGCTGTGATCGATTAGCGATGTCTGGCCCCAAGGCAGGAATATGGGCTCACAGGCTAACGGTGTTATTGAGCAGCTCTCTGAGCTCGGCCACCGGCAGGAAGAGCCTGCCCGGATGGGCCGGTCTTGTCTGCCACAGACGGAAGGCGTGGGGACGTGTGTACCATGCAGTCCCTCTCATGGGACCCCTGACTGAATGCCATTTTGCTGGAGGAGCCTTGTTTTCTACCTCCTTCGCACATCTTGAGACCACGGCCTGTTTGCCTTCTTGAATTTTTTTCTGGGCTCCTGTCTTCTCTCCTGATGTGCTGGAACATCGCCGGCGGGATTCTCCATCCCCAGAGCCAGCCAGTGCCCAAACAACAGTGCTCAGCCTGCTTCCCTCCGCCCTCCAGGGCAAATCCACCGTGTGATTTGCAGGCGGGGCTCCTGCCCTCCAGGCCGACAGCTGTGTCCCTCTTAGTCAAGGCTCAGCACAGAAAACGAAGTAGTCCAGGAATCGTTAGCAGGAAGGGATTCCATCCAAAGTCCCTGGACAGTCGGGAGGCGCGGAAGGCAAGGACCGTGGTGGGACTGGTGGTCTCAAGGTTAGACCCCCGTGGCTGAATCAGAGGTCAGGAAGCTGCTCCTGCCTGTCACCAGGCCACTGCCTCACACCCACCTAGCCGGGGCCGGACCCGGGATGTGGGCTCCAGCAGCCACGGGTGTCGCTTGGGACTTGCCAGCCACCAGCTCTGCAGGAAGATGCCTTCTGTCTCCCTCCTGGAGCACAGTCGAAATTACGGCCAGAAGTCTGGCGACAGGGCCATCGGAAGCGAATGGTTCGCCTCCCACTCCTTGCAGCGCAGGGAAGGAGGGATGCCCAGTGCTGACCGCCCGCGTCCGGGTCGGCATCCCCAGCAGATGCGCTGTGAACTGCGAATGTCTGTTGGGTGGGTGAGGGGGTGGGCCGTCCCAGAGGGAGGACCAGGAGGAGACAGAGGGGAAGGAGCCCCCAGGCATCCCCTCCCTGCCCCCCCCCC